GCCGAATAAGACAAGAAAAATATGAAGAAATTCATTAATCCTAATAAGTCATTAATTTTCACTCAAACTGTTATGCTGATAATATAATTTGTAATGAAAAAAGTATTTAATTAAAAAATGCACTTATACACGACGTACATTATTGGGAATTGAACTAGTCTATAAAAATATTGCAATGTCTAGTTTTCTTCTTTAGATAGTCAGTGGCACGTATACACACAAATATTTATGCAAAAGATATTAAAGCATATCAAATCTAACCTATTGGTGATACTAACAGTATTTTCAGGGGGTTTTCATCAGTGTTTTCCCATACACGTCTAATTTTGCCCACTGCGAGAGAGATGTTTCACCCATACCTCTAAAATAGAGCTAGTTCCTGATTTTATTTCAAGTTTCATTGTGTTGCAAATGACTGACTAAGGACTTCGGATAATACACCTGCGATAAAATATGCTATTTCACATGCTTCTTACTAGTGAAATAAGGCACTATAATTAGAATAAAACATTAAAGGTATGTTTTTCCTCTAATTTAATGTCAAATGAATCTCCAGAGGTCATTTGGCATTAACCTCAAAGTTTTAATCTTCAAATACATCTGACCTTTAGGATCACAGCAGCTGCACTTTCACCGTCTCCATGCAAAATGTGTTCTGCACCTGCACTGGAGATATTAAGAACAATTTCAGCCAAACAAAGTATCAGATCGATCTGCCCACATTTGCTGTAGCACGAGCAGGCCTGTTACAGGATGTTTTTGTCTTGAGGGTAAGCATGCATGATTACAAGTTTTACCCATTTCCTCATATGATTCGAGTAATTACTCCCTCAATTAAACTAATAAACTTCCACTGCAAGCGTGTGTTTCAGTCAAGTCACAATTAGTTATATATAGTGCTTTATACTATACAGTTTTAGTTCAGTTAATTCAATTCTGTAAAGCAGCCTTCAATGTTGATTTAATTTAGTTCAATAACAGTGTTAATGTTGTAAAGTTCATCAATTATGAAGTGAATTTAATTCAGATATAAGCTGCACTACAAAAGACAATAGTGTTATTATTATTATTAATGTATTAACTAAAACTAAAAACAAACTTTAACTGAAATAAAACCTTAAACATTTTATTTCAGCAAAAAATTAAAAAAATATATATATTTTTTAAGTAAATATTTTTTTTATAAAAAGTAAAATAAAAAATAAAAATCACATCAAAATGACTAAAACTTAAACTAGAATTAAAATGAAAACAGAAAATATAAAAATGCAAACCAATTCAAAATATGAATAAAAACTATAATAGTATTATCTTAATGATAATAAAATAATAATAATTTTACTGAATCTTAAGTGTCCCCAACCGAGCAAGCCAAAAGTTCAGGGTTAGTTTTGCAAGGAAAGCAAAGAGAACAAATTGAGAGACAATTTCTGACAGGCACACTTAAAAAAAATAAAAAAATAGTGCCAATAAAATCTTTATTGGCACTAATGGTTCCTTTGCATACCACAAAAGGTTTTTTATAGTGGGAAAACGTTCTTAAGATTTTTAGACACACTAAGAAAAAAATGGTTCTTTTAAGAACTGAAAGTTTTTTTTGGGAGAGCTGATAATGGTTCTTCTATGAAACTGATGCTAAAGCGCTTATTTTAAGAGTGGATCGTGGTGCTTATGAATGTTTACATCAACAACTGCAGCTTTAAAAAATGTATAGAATAACTCATATCATAATATCATGACTCTACTGTACATACATGTAAGTGTGTGATTAGCTGGGACGGTCTCAATCTCCGTCCCGTTAGTAGCTCACGATCCTGGCAACGGCCCAGAACCTTCCCGACCCCAACTGAACCCCTCAGCTGTCAAACACTGCTTATCATCAAACAACATCACTTTATGATACGTCTTGACATTTATGGGAAATGTCAACATCAGTTATAGGATATGATGACACAATCAAAACTTGATTATAAAATGTGTCCTAAATAATACCTAATAATGTAACATAATTATATTTATTTTTAAAAATAGATTAATTTATGATAAGGAAAAGCTGAGAAAATTTAATAAAGCTAATAAAGGAGTCAAGAAAACCTTCAAAAGAAAAAAAAAAACACATTGTTGAAATTACAAATCACATAATTAGCCTTCTCAACACTTTTCCTTCATCTACACATGTAATATGTTTTAGTGTGTTACCGACCGCTGATTAGCAACCAGTGACACTGTTCTTATTTTAAAAAACAATGACTCACTCTGAATCTATCACTAAAATTGTGTTGACCTTAACTGACTTATCAGTCAGAATCTGACTTTTACAATTTATGCAAAACTCATGATTCAACCGCCTGATTTAACTGACACCCATTAGTGTTATTAGTGGCAGGACACAATTTGACATCTGCATACTCCAAACTAAAGCGCTGCATGCACTACACACACTTTTCTGCAATCAAAAAAGACATTTTGCATTTGTACTTGCACAAGTAAATTATAAATAATGAGTACAACCTTAAATATCACTGCACAATTAGTTGTACCATAATTTACTTATTAATCCAACATATTCTCCCTGCTGGTGAACAAAAACAAATCTATTAATAGGAAGCACTCGTCGTAATCATACGCGGGAAATGCATCCTCCCAGAATCAATGCAATGGCATAAACTGTAGAAATGTTTCAAACAGGCAGTTTTTGTATGTCAATAACACTAAGCACGCATCTCATGTGTGTGACATTTGAGAGCGTTACACGTGTCCTCACACACACACAGACTCTGGGAATGCACTGCGCGCATCTAAACCACAACTCAACCACTGTTCGAGACTGGCAGACAGATCGTAGGAGGACAGCTCAACGTAAACACACCGTTAAAATAAACAGTCACAACGTCTGACCACAGAAAAAGACAAATGTCAAACTGATCTTGTTTTTCAGGGAAACATTTATTGAGTGATAAGTGTTCGTGTTACATTACTCTGCATCAACAATGCTTCAGCTAGTTTGGCAGCGCTGAAGTCCACTGTAGTTTAGCATGAACATAAATAAAGCGGACTGCCTTCAAGTCACGTCCGAATGATCGTATTCGCCATGATTTCGTGATCAGTAATGAGAAACTTGGGATTTTTCCAGTTTGGTTTGTGTCAATAAAAAAAAAACACAAGCCGAAACGACTTCCGCAAGTACAATCCCATTCGTTTTCTCCATAGAGTTGAAGTGATAATGCATAAACAATCAAATAGATTTTTAGCCATAATGTATAAACCTTTTCTTTGAAAAGACACGTCTTGTGTAGAAGTCACAAATCAATGATTTCAATGCTATTTTTGGGAGAAAGTGACCATTCCACTCTCACAAAGTATTGCAAAATTACGCAATTAATCAAACACTCTCAAACTATATATATATATATAGTGGCCAAAAGTGATGTCTATAGGGGATATTTGTTTTTAATGACCCTACAAGCATGATAAAATCATCAAAATATGTTTTTTTAATATTCAAAATATTTAATATTCAGTTCGATATTCAATAATCAGTTATTTGATCTCCGATATCCACACAATTTAGCATGTTTCATTGCGTTATCACAAATAAAACAATTGACTCAAAGCACATTTGGGTCACACTTTAGTTTAGGGTCAAATTCTCACTATTAACTACAACTTTTCCCCAATAAACATTAAACTACTCCCTTTTCCCTAATTACTGCTTATTAATAGGTAGTAAGGTAGTTGTTAAGTTTAGGTATTGGGTACTAGGATTATGGGATGTAGAATATGGTCATGCAGAACAGAAGTTAATAGTGAGAATTGGACCCTAAACTAAAGTGTTACCAAAATTGATGATGTTTATATAAAAGCTGATGTCGTCAATTTTCCTAGGCTGGACATCACTTTTGGCCACTACTGTATGTATGTATATATTAGGGCTGTCAAGCGATTAATCGCATCCAAAATAAAAGTTTGTGTTTACATAGTATATGTGTGTGTACTGTGTATAATTATTTTTAATACATAAATACTCACACATGCATGTGTATTTAAGAAATATTTGCATGTATATACTGTATATAGACTGAATGTAGCCTATATATAATGTATATTTTATATAAATATAAACATTTTATATATAAATAACAGATTTTTCTTAAATATATACATGTGTGCATTTATAAACAAAATAATTATACACAGTACACACACATATATTATGTAAACACAAACTTTTATTCTGGATGCGATTAATCGTGATTAAGCGTTTGACAGCCCTAATATATATAAGAAATTCTTAAAGCCTTGATGTATGTATTTAAGGCATTCCATAATGTACGTTATAATACATTACATCTTTTCGTAAATAATTGTAACCAAAGTTAAAATACACTGTAATATTTGCAGATTCCTTGTTACATCTGAAATTGGTGGTTTAGAAAGTATAATGCGTTAAAAAACATGACAAAGGTGTGACATAAATGTTACAATGTATTATGACTGTGGTTACTATTATCCATGAAGCATAATTAATGCTTTAAAATACTTTTATAATACATTATATATAAAGACTAAGTAAAGTGTTACCAAATTTTGCTATACTTAATATAAATGACACAGTAAATTACCATTATAAGATCTGTAATGAATGACTATTATATTTTGCGAGTAGATAATTTCCTCATAAATTGAAAGTACACCATCTTTGCCTTTTTCTCAGATTGTCATTATTGTGGTAATGTTTGTGATTCATCTCTGAGCTGGTTGTTTTGGTTCATGGTTTAAAACGCATATGTTTTAAAGAATTTGGTTGATAAATAAAAGAATGAGAAAATGAATGTGAAAAATACTTTTGGAACCAAGTATGGGTCATTGTTATGCTCTATTGATCATAGTGTAAATTATAACAGTCAATGTTAATTAAATGTAAAACTAATTTATAAACATTTTCTGATTAAGAAAAAAAAAATCTTTGTAGTTGCACAAGAATGATAAAACACATAAAATACAGCATAAATCACATTTAGTTGAAGTGGGACTAAAAATGCTTTGTGAGCAAGTTATAGACACCTTTTTTTCCAATCCAAATCACTTTGCGCACATCACATCATAATTAGGCCTTCCGAGCTCTTTAAGCAGGACCGTCCCAGCAGGACCTGAAGGCAGCATAAACAGTTTGTGCTCAGTGAACGGCTGACCTCAAGAGCTTCTGTCCACGTCTGACGCCAAATCTGCAGGAGCACAGTCACTTTCAGCATCTCCTCGGCCTGACCTGCACAAAAACAACACACACTTCAGTGAACCGAGCTCAACAAGCTTCCCGAATCACAGCTATTAAAGTGAACGTCAGGAGGGAGCACCTGTCTGTGAGCGTTTCTCTGCAGACGTGCAGTAATAGCAGGGCTGAGGTTTCAGGGCCCGAGGCAGTGCCCTCAACAGCCCCCGTTTCTGCTGTGTGTGTGTGTTTGTGTGTGTGTGTGTGTTTTCTTTTCCTCCCCCTCCTCCCTGATACAGAGCGACTCATGAGTGAGAGAAGTCTCTTTGTTCCCAGAGCGAGCGGGCGGACTTCATTACACACAGACACAAGATGATGACCGACACTGATCAGAGTTTTAGAATATATAGTTGATCTTGTTTGCTTTGGAAGGCCAAAGGAAACCCACATTATTTGACCAATGCGATCATTTTGCACATTTAGCCCTGCATGTGCACACGTTCGGTTTTGAGGAACACAATACTTGAACCTCATGTTACAAGTAGTCTAATGTGTCACGTCAGCACGTATAGAAATAATCCCACCTGACATGTTTTATGACTAGGATTTACATAAAAAATGATTATGGCTTTGAGATGATAATCTAGTTAACCTCAGCACACACAAAAAGAGAGAATTGCCTTGAGAAAAAAAATGTATTGCTTTGGGTTACGTCAGATGTTTCTCCGATGTTTACTTGTTGTCATACAGTAGTGGCCCAAAGTCATAATCTTCTCCCTTTATTCAAATATTATTAAAACGTGTTGAAGATTTTGTAAGCATGTTATGGATAGTTGTGCTTTGAGTCGATAGTTTTATTTGAGGTGATAACGCAATAAAACATGGCAAATGACATGATATTTGGCCAAAGAAATTATGAACACATGCAAAAACAACTAAATATTAATAACTGATTATGTTGTAGTAAATGTATGCTTTTTTACCTGTGAGTAACTGTAACTTTTTTTTTTTTTTGCATAGTAAAAACTAGGGTCTGAACACATTTGCATCAAACTGTTTTTCGAGAATCGCATCACACAAGGTGGCAAAAACAAAAAGTTTGCGGCAATCGCAGAGGTGCAACCTGTTCTAGTAAATGATGTCAAAAACAAATACAAATTAACCCACACACTGTTTAATTTGCATTATGCATGGCTAAACAGCGGCTGTCTCCTTCTCAACTTAAACCACATGGTCTTCTGTTAGTCCCCCTGAACAAAAGCCATTGATACCAAGCACTTTGTAGGTTAATAGCTGAGAAACGTTTAAAAGCCCACATCCTTGAAAAATACATGAGACATGACGACACAAAAGGAAAGAGTCGAAACACGCTATCAAAATAAAAATAAATTCAAATTAATTAATTAAAAATATGTAAATAATTAAAATAGATAAATTTATTATATACCATTATATAAATAATCATAAAAAGTAATTAAAATATTTAAATTAAATAACATTTAAATAAATAAAAATGTAAAAGTAATTAAATTAAATTACAGCATAAACATTTAAATAAATGTCATATTTAAAAGAAAGTCAAATGTCTACTAAAAAACAAAAAAAAAGTGAGTAAATCCGACCATTCACATAACTTAATTTAATTTCGCATGAAGTTTATTTACTTAATAATTTTAAGTTATGTGAATGGTCGGATTTACTCACTTTTTTTTTAAAGCCCACATTCTTGAAAAATACATGAGACATGACGACACAAAAGGAAAGAGTCGAAACACGCTATCAAAATAAAAATAAATTCAAATAAATTAATTAAAAATATGTAAATAATTAAAATAGATAAATTAATTATATACCATTATATAAATAATCATAAAAAGTAATTAAAATATTTAAATTAAATAACATTTAAATAAATAAAAATGTAAAATTATTAAAATAAATCCATTTATTTTAATTACATTTAAATAATCAAAATATTTAAAAAAAATGTCATATTTAAAAGAAAGCCAAATGTCTACCGAAAAACTACAAATCACAAACTTCTACGCCCCAAAGGGAAAGGAAGGTGGAAAATAAATATGAGATGGGAGGAAAAAAAGAAAGAAAAAAGGGATCAGTTGACTTAACTTAAAAAAAGTGAGGAAATCCATTGCCTTAAAATTAAGTAAATAAACTTCATGCAAAATAAAAAAATTAAGTTATGTGAATGGTCGGATTTACTCACTTTTTTAAGTTAAGTCAACTGATCACTTACTACAGTGATATGAATGCTTTTGCGTTCTATCGCAAATGTTTTGCGTTCCCCAGAGAAACTTTGCGATCGTTCGCAAAACCTTTTGAGCTCTTTGCGAACGCAAAGTTTCTCGGGGGAACGCAAAAGCAATGACCTATAATTTTTCCTCCCTGTCATATTTTTTCCCTTCACATATATTTTTTTCTCTATACCACCATCACCATGTCCCTTTAGGGCCTCCGTAACTGAGACAAAACGGTAGAACAAATCTAGACTTTTTCTAGAGCTTCTGTTGTTTGCCTTGATAAAAAAAAACCAATAATCTCAGAAGAAAGTAGTTTCAGAAGAAATCAACTGTGGTCAGAAGTTGCAAAGATACTAAATATTTCAATTAAAACAAAAAACTCAATCTGAGTTTTCCTGAGACCGAATGATCTGAGCTGCTATACATATTCAAAAACAAGTTTTACATAAATAAAACATGCACGGCAAACTATATTCAGTCTGCTGATCTATGAAAGAGCGGTAACCCTGACCTCGGGTGTTGTGTTAATTCAGAACAATGACAAAGTAAGAGTGTGAGTCTGGCGTGAGGAAGCGTGTGTGTAGGAGTGAAGGAGAGGTCTCTCTCTGTCAGAGCTGGAGGGGACGGCGGCGGCGCTGCTCGTGACTAAAGAGATAACAGCCAGAAAAGCTCTCTCAGGGCCTGATGTGAAACCCGACACTGCAGTCGAGTGCGCCTAGATACTTTCACACACACACTGAGAGAGTCGATGGCCCACACATGCAAAAACACAATATACACAACTATCCATGTGGTCAAATTATGGGTGTGATTTAAAGTATTATCAAAGAATCATTGTAAAACAGATGGATCCTGGATGCAGATGCACAGTATAGTTAGGTGTGACACCTGCTTGCTGTTGCACGTGCTATTAAAGACACAAACTTGAATTAAAATATTCAGGTTCAGATGTTTTTTACAGCAGTTTCAACAACAATACGCCCAAAATGCACATACATCCCATTAAGAACAATGTGAGGTTACGAGAAACTCCTGCTGCCAGCACTCACACCCTTCAACAACAAACCGTCCCTCTCCATTAAATATTCATGAAACTGCCGGTTACTGGCGAGCGAGTCGTTGACTTGTTAATTGATGCCTGAGTGAGATTAATGTCTCTATTTCTCGTTGTGGTTATTCTTTAAAGATCCCAGTGCAAACAAGAGTCTCGGCGTCGGCCCGCACTGATTAATGCCGTATTTTAAAACAAGCTTATACATTTTCTGTTGCTTTCAATCATTAATCATTCATTCGGTCCACGTGGATGTGCCTTAGATGGCCAGAGGAGAGACCGTGTAGAAGTAGATAAGTGAATGCAAAACCATATGCATTTTGATTTATTATTGTTTTAAATCAAGTGAGCCAATAGCTAAACCAGTTACCTCCCCCATACTGAAAAATATAATATAGTAACAGGTGTGACATGAAATTAATCACATCCATTGTTAGACACAACGCACTATATTAAGTCGATATACACAACCGGTCAAAAGTTTGGGGTTGGTATTATTTTATGTTTTTGAAAAAAAATTCTTATGCTCGACAAATCTGCATCTATTTGATCAAAAATACAGTAAAATTGAGAAATATTTTTACAATTTAAAATAACTGTTTTCTATAGGATTATATAGTAAACTGTAATTTATTCCTGTGATCAAAGCTGTATTTTCAACATCATTACTCCAGTCTTCAGTGTCACATGATCCTTCAGAAATCATTCTTGTATGCTGATTTGCTGCTCAAGAAACATTTATGATTATGATCAATGTCGTTGCTATTTTTGGATGAAAAGAAAGTCCCAAAGAACAGTATTTTCTGAATCGTTTGTAACATTTAAAACGTCTTTACTGTCACTTTTGATCAACTGAATGCATTCTTGCTGAATAACTAAATAAAAAAATCTTCCCGACCCCAAACTTTTGAACAGTGGTGTACCTTCTGAATCTCCAATCTTGCACGAATGTATAAAATAATTCACATTTACAATTCAAAAATCCTGTTTCAACATATAAAATAATTGTGCATGTGACAGTAAGAATGCATAACACACATTGCAAATACTTTGAACAGGAAGTGATCCAGGATTCATGTCATCGCTAATGTGGCTCCTGTAATCTTTTGTTCTGAAAGTGCGCCAGTCCATTAATAAATGCCGTGCTATTTATGTTTGGCTTGTTTTAAAAAAAGGAAATATGCCGCTTTGTGTCCGGGAACACAGCACCGGGAATGTGTGGACACTCGAGGGGAATACAGGCGTCTTTGCTGAGCACTCACAATGTGATGCGTGTCACCGGCGGGAATAACGTGCTGACACAAGCGCACTGGGCTTTATCTCATCCGCGGGACGACATCTATTACTCTGGGGGCGGCTAATAAATGAGTTGCAATTTTAGAAAGTGGTGATTAGTAACCGTCTCCAGCGTGAGCAGAGGAAAGAGGCGAGCTGTGTGAAAAAGCATCAGTCTCGTAGGGTAGGCAAGTGATTTGTTCATGCACAAAGGTTCCTGCCAGATATTGATCAAAATGTGCGCTTACTCATCTGGATGAGACCGAGAGGGAGAGGTTACGACACACACTTTTTCACCAAGGACACAAAACCTTAAATCTTAAGAGTCAAATTTGTGCAGTATCTGAATTAACTCACCACAAAGCACTACAGGAGTTAGTCAGACCGTGTGAAAGACAATACGCGGTTTCCCATCGCCTGGTTCACCGAACGAGTCTGCCGTGCTGTATTGAGGAACACGGAGCAGATTGCAA